GCAGAGAGATTCGAGTGATACGGGCAGTTAGAGGAGGCAGAGGGGAGAGGCTCTGCTGTTTCACAGGCCTCTGGTTTGTGGAACCAGACGAATGGCAATTCTGTAGGTGAAAGTCAGGTATAGAAGACAGAGTGGGTTTAGAAGGGAAGATGTCATTTCTCACAGTTTGTGAAGTGTTAGGCTCTTAATTAGGAACCAGGAGAGGGATCTGGATTGAGAACTAGGAATCTAGAGACATCCATGTAAGAGAGAACTTGAGATCACACTGTTTACGAACATCCATCTTGCCTCTTGGAAACTTCAGTTACCTAAAAGGAATGTGAGATGAGTATGAAAAAAGAGGACATTGAAGGGAAAGACATGTTTTTGATTTAAGTCATTCAGAAGCAGTCAGGAAACAGGAAGACATCAGGGCCTCCACCCAGGACAGAGAGAAGGAATCTATGGAAGTTAAACAGAATCAAAGGAGGAGAGAAGGCACAGGCCTCATCCCTTACACGCCAGATTCTGTTTAACGCTGCATCTCCTTGTGAGAAATGCAGTGTCAGCCTAGGCGGACCCTGAGACCTCGCACATGCGTTCTCAGCCCCCTTCCAGGGCGGGTGGGGGATAAGGACTGAGCGTGGCAATGCACGTGAAGGGACCCACTGGGTAGCTTCGCCAGCATGAAGCCCGCCCTCCTGCCTGCAGAGGGGTGTCTCGGCGGAGGGGGCCTCGGGCTTGCCAGCTGCCTGGCAGCTGTGTCTGTGTTGGCCGATGTGGGCTGTCATCCGAGGGCTGCAGGGGAGCAAGAAGGGAGCTGAGAGCTTCCCTGCTGATGTGCAAATGGGCTCTCCAGGCCGCCCCAGCATGCTCCCCCGAGTCAAGGGCAGACTCTAGAAAGTCGGTTCACAGGAGGGATTCTCCTAGCAAATTAATTCTCAGTAACAAATTAAGGGCATTGGGAAGCCCTATGGGTTGGGTTTAGTTTACCCACGTCGTTACTTCATGAACCTCATAAATTGGGCTCTTCTTTTGGATATTGAAGCGAAATAAAGTGAAAGAAGAGCAGAGAGAAATTATTTTAACTTCTGAGTGCAGGACACAAATTAGTGAGACTCACACCTTTCCACAAACATTAAATTCCCCTCATATAACTTGCAATTACTGGCGAGTTAATTGGTGTTATATCTCAATGTTATCAGTTCCTGTAGGAAGCATAAGATAGAGTTTGTCAATATAATACACATGCAAGCATTTGAGGCAAAATGGAAATAAATAGCTTTATTATGGAAAATTTTCCATTTGAATATATCTACCCAATCAGAGGGCTTCCCTGGTGGCTCAGAGGTTAAAGTGTCTGCCTGAAATGCAGGAGACCTGGGTTTGATCCCTGGGTTGGGAAGATCCCCTGGAGAAGGAAATGGCAACCCACTTCAGTATTCTTGCTTGGAGAATCCCATGGATGGAGGAGCATGGTGGGCTACAGTCCATGGTGTCGCAAAGAGTCGGACACAACTGAGCAACTTAACTTTCACTTAACTTTCACCCAATCACAGACAGAGAAACCAGAGGCCCACAGTGTTTCCTGGAAGGATGGGGAGGCAGAGGCAGGGTGTGTGTGTGTGTGTGTGTGTGTGTGTGTGTTCATGCACATGCGCATATGCCTGTAGTGTATGTGGGTGTGTGTATGGCATGTGTGTATTAGCAGAACTTTCCTTTTTTTATGGAATCACAAAGGCTGGAGGTGTAACTGTTTTCTTATAATACCATTCTCCCTTGGAGAGGAGACTGATGAAAATGAAGAGGTATATATACAAAAAAGAAAGTAGGCAAGAGAAATTATTTCTAAAATTACTGAAAAGTAAAAATAAGGATTTTAGCAAATAATTTTCTTTTCTTTTGAACTTGTGCTTGAAGCTTAAGCCAAATCACAGTAGAGTTGCAGCAGCAATGCAACTGATTATCTATCTTCCTAAGATGTAATGTCATGTAGGTTACCAGGAAGATTAGAAGAAAAATGAGAGAAATGAGATAAGGCAAATAGATCTTACACTGGGGAGAATAATGGCTGCTAAAAGACTCTGTCCTCCCCTTTAGATATGGACTCAATCAAAATTAGTGCACAGAGAAAGAAGTGTGATATTTTGAGCTGCGTGGACATTTTTTTAAAACAAGTGGGTATTTAAAGAATAATCGCTAAACTGAATGGTGGAATTGAGAGATATATGTCTTTTAGATTCAATACTACCAGTGACTGAGGGACGTGTCAATATGTGAAAGCAGCCTACAAGGCCCATGCTTGTACCTTTAATGTAGTTTAACATTAAATGTTTATTTTTCTTTTTCTAGATAGGAGCTTAAATGAGATAATTGTCTTTACTCAGGGGGGTAGCATAAATTCTATACAATATATAGTATTTTTATAAAAATATTTTCTTTTAAGAAGTATGCTCTTGTACTGCAACTTGATGAAGACCCAAAGAACTGTAGAACAAGTGGAACTTGCTGGAATAATTTAGAAGCAGGATTATAGCATGCACAGAACCGGGCAGCCCTGGAGAAGTTGTGAATCCTGGCTCTGTCATTTTCTTGCCACGAGATTTTGATTAATCACCTGTAGCAAGAGGATAACTATACCTCTTTTGCTTGGTGATGGAGCTCAATAAATAAACTAAGGAAAATCATCTGGAAGCTAGCCCATGCTTAATAATATTAGAAATTTAGTCTGAAATATTCTTTTCTGCTGATAAGGAAAGTGAAGTTAAAAAACTCTGTGCTCGTGAGTGAGTGTTAGAAGCTGGCCCCACTCCCAGACCTAACTAGAGTCCAAGGAAGGTTTTCTGACATCACCCCACAACCATGACAAAGTGAATATGCTTTTCTTTTAATGTGATACCTTCAAGTCAAAGATCAAATTCTCCATGATCATTGAAAATCTAAAATATGCCTGGTCTTCCTTTTCCAAAGCAAAGGAGACTGAGACTGTGAGTTGTGACTTCCTCTCCTTTCAAAGGGACAAGGCTATTCCTCACAGAGTTTCTACACGTTGTGTGTGATGAAGCAGCAAGTGCCACGGCCTAGGGGTCTGACCCTCACAAGGCGCTGAGGTAGAGAGTGCCCCAGTGATCCAGGGAGAGGGCCGGGAGGGGCTGGCTGACTTGTGGGTGAGGGGCATGGAAGTCGGTCCTCTCGGATTCGCAGTAGTGCGCTGAGCAAGGGCCCTCTTTGCGCTTTTGCAGTCACCCACGAGGAGTTCAAAAGAAATTAGGTCTCACCTAAACTGGATTTTCTCCCAATACATTAGCATTTGTACAGTCTTGCCAATGTTTGGCAACTTGCTAATTGGTAATAGGATGTCTTCAGTAAATTAAATCATGTATTATTGCTGCCGAATTAACCTATAACAAGCCTATCAAGGGGTACTTCTTGTATATATGTTCAATTTTTATTTTGGTGGGAACACCTCAGTTAGCAAACAAAGTCCAGTACTGGAAGTTGGATTACAATGACTTTTTTACTAATTCAAGGAAATGGGAATTTACAAAAATATAGCAAAATGTTAGGAAGCAACTGTTGTTTTCCTGATTCACTTATACTCAAGTATTGTCCAGGAGTGATTTCTCTCTTTAACAAGTAGAGAAAACAAAGCTTTAGGACAGAAGGGATAATTCTTCCTCAAGAATCATTAAGAATTAAGCCACCAAAGACTGAGGTTGAAAGTATTTTACTTCATAAGACCCTTTAATCTTCATCTTATACAAAGCTTCAAGTATCTTAAGAAGTTGAAGTTGAGAAGATTGAGCTGGAATTAAGCAGAATAACATCTGGAAGTTGGAGCTAGATACTCCCAGGTGTATCTCTGGATTATTTATTTGACTGCAGCTTCAACAGATGCTCCTGGTTTTCTTTAGATATTTAGAGAAATACAGATATTCATGAATCTCACATTCTTGCTTTATACCTCCTCACAAAGAGGATCTCCAGTTGGTCCTAGCAGAATCATTATTAAATGGATGAACTTAGTATTTTAAAATCTGCTTATTCTTTAGGCAGGCTTCCCTGATGGTTTAGACGGTAAAGAATCCTCTTGCAGTTCAGGAGACCTGGTTTCAATCCCTAGGTTGGGAAGATCCCCTGGAGGAGGGCATGGCAGCCCACGCGAGTTTTCTTGCCTGGAGAATCTCCATGGACAGAGGAGCCTGTTGGGCTACAGTCCATGGGGTCACAAAGAGTTGGACACGACTGACTCACTAAGCAAACAGCATACCTGTAAATATTGTTGATCTGTGTTTGCTGAAAAGCTCTCAAAGGACTGAATTCGGGGCTTCCCACGTGGCGTTAGAGGTAAAGAACCTGCCCGCCAATGTAGGAGACGTAAGAGATGAGGGTTGGATCCCTGGGTCGGGAAGATTCCCTGGAGTAGGAAATGGCAGGCCACTCCAGTGTTCTTGCCTGGAGAATCCCATGGACAGAGGAGCCTGGCAGGCTGCAGTCCATGAGGTCACAAAGAATCAGACACGACTGAAGTGACTTAGCACAATCTTTAGACATCTGTCATGTAACTGTATAACTTAACTGCAATAAAATTTGGATACATCTGTTTTCCATTTTAATTGGTTTGAGAAGACAGAGTTATGCTTTTTGTTAGTAATTATGCAAATACACCGGAGAAGGCAATGGCACCCACTCCAGTACTCTTGCCTGGAAAACCCCATGTAAGGAGGAGCCTGGTGGGCTGCAGTCCATGGCGTCGCTAAGAGTCGGACACGACTGAGTGACTTCGCTTTCACTTTTCACTTTCATGCATTGGAGAAGGAAATGGCTACCCACTCCAGGGTTCTTGCCTGGAGAACCCCAGGGACAGCAGAACCTGGTGGGCTGCCGTCTATGGGGTCACATAGAGTTGGACACGACTGAGGTGACTTAGCAGCAGCATGCAAATACACAGGAAGGAAAACAGATTTAACTGCAAATTCATGTATTTTTGAACTTCTCTAAATACATATGTACACAGCAAAGCCATCACCATTACTTTAGGATTTTATCTTTTATAATCTAGTCCACCTAAAAATGAAGTAGGCTCACAATTTCTCATCTTAAAGAAATGATTTGTGTTTATAGTTTCAAATTTACTATTTTCTTTAGGTTGAATCCATTTAAGAAAGTATATACACCTCTTCAACTCTGTTTATTGGTTCTCTGAGGTGAATAATCATGAAATTAGCATCTAGATAAACTGGCTAAAGACCTAAGCCCCTATAAAAACAATGGGAGCAATGTTAAAATTTTATAATTGCAGAAACTTTTCCCCCAGGGAACACATTTAAATCAACACACAATATCACTGCATCACAAATGGAGCTGCTGAAATCATGAAATCATTTCTAAAAGTCCAACAGCAATATGCTGAACAGAGTTTTGAGGCATCACCCATAATTCATCAGCCAAATCTCATTTCCAGGAAACTGGAAGTTGTGATAGGCTGTAAATTCTGGCTCCTTGGACTCGATCAGGATCTCGGCTGTCTCAGCTTCGTCCTCCATTCCTGCCAAGGGGAGCCATGCCTGGGCACCCGTAGTGAAGGTGGGGTGTGCAGCGGTGGAGACAGGAGCCCCAGCAAGCAGGGGGACGAGGGCCTTCCGCCAAGCTCTCCCCGGCCTGTGTGCCCCTCTGCCGGTGTGTGCATCTACTGACTGGCTTTCTTTTCTGAGGGGAGACCTGTGAAAACCAACGGGAAAATGCTTCAGATTGAAAATTAAAGGTTCACCTCTCTTATTCTGGCTTAGGGCTAACATAAACTTTGAGGCTGGCAAGAAAAGAAATGCTTTATTCATGAGCCCCCACAAGTTTACACTGAGAAATCAAGAGGTGGCAAACGGAGGGTTATTATTTTCAGCATTGACATATGCTTACTATTTCCCGAAATCACTTGTGGCCTCGTTCTAATCATGCCTGACGAGGAATGCTCTGTACTACTTCTCATTCTTGCTGGCATTTTGGTGGCTCTGGCATTTGCTTATGAAAGTGAGTTATACATGTTACTATTAGGTTCAGCACTCAACCCACAAAGAGATAATTGCCAAATATAGTGCTTTAAAACTATGATACTGGGTGCATTATTGCCAAAGCCATAGAAGAGATGTGGTAAGATGTGAATTAGTATCATGAAAACCAATGTGAAAAATTTGGAATTTTAGTAGAAGCAGGAAAAAATGCCACAAACGAGTGCCATAGGGAAGACAAAATCAAAGAAGTTTACTCATGGCAACAGAATTATTGCCATGAATGCCAATATGAATGCCAGGAAATGAAGTTTTCCTGATTGATGATAACGATTTAGTATGTTAAATGTTTTATATTTGCTGCCCTGCATTTGGCAATTTCAAATATATGCTAAACTAACATTTTAGTAACAGGAAGATAAGAAGTTACTTTTTCATGTTTAAGAAATATTATTCTGAGAACTGTGGTCACTACATAAAAAAATATCCACTGGAAACCACAAATCTTATAGAAGAAAACATAGGCAGAACTTCTTTGACATAAATCATAGCAATATTTTTTGCATCTGTCTAAGGCAAAGGAACAAAAGCAAAAATAAACAAAGACTTAATTAAACTGAAAAGCATTTGCACAGCAAAGAAAACCATCAACAAAATGAAAAGACAAGCTAACTGAGTGGGAGGAAAATACTTGCAAATGATCTGAATAACACGGGGCTAAAGCTAACAAATATAAATAGCTCATATAACTCAACATTAACAGAAAACAATTGAAAATGGACACAAGACCTGAATAGACTTTTTCCCAAAGAAGACAGACGTTTGACCAATAGGCACATGAAAAGATACTCACATCATTAATCATCAAAGAAATGAAAGTCAAAACCACAGTGAGAAATCAGCTCACACCTGCCCAAATGACTGTCATCAAAGAGATCACAGATAACCAATGTTGGCAAGGAAGTGGGGAAATGGTAAACCTTGGACACTGTTGGTGGGGATGCTGGTTGGTATAGCTGCTGTGGAAAACAGCATAGAAGTTTCTCAAAAAACTAAAAATAGAACTAAATGTGATCCAGCAATTCTACTCCTGGGTACATAGCCAAAGAAAACAAAAGTTCTGATTCAAAGCAATATATCAATCCCAAAGTTCATTGCTTATAAAGGTCAATGTTTGTCTAGGAATATTTACCACTTGTATTTTCATATGTTCCTGTACATATAAATGTACTTTTGCATTCTATTTAGTATTCTTGTAGCAAAATCACTTAGTTTATTGATAGGTTTGGACCTTTAGAGTATTAAAGGTGAAGCGGCATTTTTCTTACAATTCTTTTCTAACACTCTAGAAACAGGCATAACATTATCTGCCTCTAAATTTCAATCAATTCTTCTTTATTCACTAAGAAAATAAAATATTTTATAAAAGAAAAATATTGCTTTGTCTATTGGTATTGAAAATTGTACAATGCATAGTCTCTAAGTTTCTGCTGTTTCTTAATTTCTTGAATAGCTTTTACTGTTTACACTGGTTCTGTTATCTCTTCATACAACTGGGAACTGTAAAAAGTCCAACTAATCCAAGCCATTTACCAGTGTAAAATCACCTGTAATGTTTAAATATAAAGACAGTTACAAAAAGACACAACCTGAGAAATAATAGATTCTGACTTTCAGGACAGACAATTAGAATTTATTTAAATACAATAAGTGCAAAGTGTGATACTACTACATTTTACTTAATATGCCTTTAGCGGTTACAATGTGGGGGCGTGTCTGTGTCCCAGCCAGTCACCAGCCACGGGGGGTTCGACAAGTCATGTGATCTCTCTGCTCCTCAGTCTGCACATTCGCAAAACAGGACTACGGCAGTCCTCATTTCACACAGTTGCTGTAAGGTTTCGATGAGATAATAAACACAAAGCACCTACAGTAGTTTCTGGCATATAGTCAGTGTTATAGAGCGAACTGTGCCCTCTTCAAAGGATGTGTTTAAGTCCTTGGCCTGTAGACATGTCCTTATTTGGGAATAGGGGCTTTGCAGATTAACATAAGGCTATACTGGATTAGCCTAATCCAATATGACTGGTGTCCTTATATATATATAAAAGGGGAAAATTTAGACACAGACACAAAGGGAAGACAGCCACATGAAGATAGAGACAGATTCAGGTTATGCTGCCCCAACCAGGGAACATCTTGGACGACTAAAAGCTGAAAGCGGCAAGGAAGGACGGCCCCCCACCTCCCTGCAGGCTCTGAAGGGAGCTTGACCCTGGCAACACCTAGATTTTGGACTTCTAGTTCTGAGAATAAATTATGTGAGAGCATAAGTTTTTGATGTGATAAGACACCTAGTTTGTGTATTTTGTTATGGTTACCCTAGGAAACAAATTCAGCCATTATTCTATTAATTACTTATTACTTGACATTGGTAAAGGCCAGTTAGAATGGTTGGGCTTTGATCTGTATTGTAAAGAAATAATGATGTTTGCTTACAACACAATCTTGCATGCTTACATTCATGCAGTTCCAAATATGTAAGAACTGAACTCCAGTTTATTAGACAAAGTTTAACTCTACACCATATGAGAATTTTGGAAGGTACAGAAGTGATTGGCATACAATACAGTCAAAAACCATAGCCTTATAACATTTCAGAAAGGAGTCAACAATGTGTTTTCAAGGTTATACTAACTCTACTGCGCCATAATTGTTTTGGAAACATGGAAATCATTTCACATATTATTCTGATAATGGATAAAATGAGATTGAAATATTCTTTGTAAAATCACACGTTTAAACAGAAACTGTAACCCATTAACATCTGTGGACTTCAAAGTAGAAAAATGCCATTACTTAATGCTACACAGAGAGAAAGCCAGGAAACTCACAAAGATTTGAAAACCTTTATTTAAATCTTTAGCTCTAAAAGATTTGCTTTCCAGTGAGTCCCCAAAGCATTCTAAAATAACCACGGCTGTACCTGAGAGCAAGACTGGGGGTCAACTGAGCCGACGACTCTCCCAGGTGTACTAAATACCTGCTGACCCGATGCTCGGCCAGGGAGCCCATCCCCGTGCCTCCTCCCCTCTTCAGAGGGCCCAGCCCTGGCCCTCCTCCAGCCAGACTCCCCTTCACTATGTGAGCCTGCCTCCCTTTAGAACAAGCCCCCGCACCAGCAAGCAGATCCACAGATTCTCTGCCAGGCAACCCTGGGTCTGCTTCCAGGCCCCACGTGGTCCTCTTCTGTTGTTGGGTGGTGAGGGGTATATGGATGAAGTTGGGATATGCCTGCTAGGTTGTTCTCAAATTCACACTCCAGACCCCTCCCGGGGGAAGGTGAGAGGGCTCGGGTGGGGGCACTGCCTAGGTCTTTCCATGCATGTTCTGGCACAGAGCTGATTGAAATCTGAGGGTCCTAAAGTTGACATTGGCCTTCCAGCTTCAATTATCAATAGGAAGATCAACTATACTTTGGGATTCCCTGGTGGCTCAGAGGGTAGAGTCTGCCTGTAATGTGGGAGACCTGGGTTCCATCCCTGGGTCAGGAAGATCCCCTGGAGGAGGGCATGACAACCCACTTTAGTATTCTAATTTTTTTTTTCCCCATTTATTTTTATTAGTTGGAGGCTAATTACTTTACAACATTGCAGTGGTTTTTGTCATACATTGAAATGAATTAGCCATGGATTTACATGTATTCCCCATCCCAGTCCCCCCTCCCACCTCCCTCTCCACCC